TTTTTTTAAAAACTTGCAGTTTTAGCCCATATGTGTTTTGGATGTGTGATAAAAGTTTAGAAAAGTTTCTGTAATGAAATCTGATGTGTTGAAGAAATTGTAGACTCTGTTATACCAGAAAATATAACTAGTACTTGGATCTGTGTTTTATAAAACATACCAGGTATTTCTTTTCTGTTTAGTTTAGACAGGTGATACCTAAAATTTTCACATGTGCATGCATAGGTTTAACAATAGAGGATTGTTATTTTGTATTTTTAGTATGACTAAGAGTGATGTGGGTAAAAGCATCTGCTCTGGGAAATATCACCCTGTTGTATTTTCTCTGTAGTGTTTCTCTCTCTCTCTCATTGTTATTCAAGTTTTCTTCAAAATGCTGCTGGTAAAGACTTCCGTCCAGAGTCTAGAGAGATGTTATTTCATGTACATGTGACTGAATTTTGTTTCTTTGTGTATTATTTAGTAAAGAATTACTTGTTTTTCATTGTCAGATTTTGACCACACTTTCTTCAATTCAGTCAGGTAGGAAACTCAGTTTAATTCTGTGTACAACCTTTTCTGTCATTCCTGAAGTTATTGCAGTTACTATTCTTAGCTTTCAAGGTATGTGTATACCTGAGAATACTACAGGTCTACAGAAGAAACTGTTCAAGAGTGCTTTGTGGTTGTTCCAGCATATGATGGCTCTTTTATTTTGTTCTAAACAGGGATTCTATAATAAGGAGATGTGCCACTCTATACATAGTGTTATAATATTGTATTAGTGATACTGCCATGAGGTTGTTTGTGCAAACTATAAGTGGAAAATACTTTCAGTAGATCTAATAAATATGGCTAATGTTATTTACTTATTGTATGAGATGTGTGTAGTGTTAAGTATCAAACTTTTTAAACTTGGTGTGAAAGAAATTCAGTAAGAGTACCTTGCATGTGATGCATAAGTTTTTTATTTTTTTTATTTATGAAATTAACTATATTACATAACCTGGACATTATAAAAAGGTTGCTTTAAGAACCAGAATAAAAGAAGCTTCTTTCTTGTTTCTATTAAAGTAATATTGATTTTATACATGCGTGTATTACCAAAGACAAAATTGATTGTGGTCTCAAACACAACTGTCACACCTTGTGTTATTTTTGTATTGTTTCAGCTACTCTAAAAGTAGCAACTTATTGTTCCGACAATATAACTTGTGTTACTTTTATGTGCTTTTATTATGTTAGGCATAAGCTTACAGACAATTTTAGATTTTGCTAAGATTTTCATAATGTGCACCTCTAATAATTTTATTATATCATGTGAATGTGTCATTAAGACAGAACTTAGTTAAATAGGTTTGACTAGGCTTAGAATGAGAGTATCATACTTTTGAAACTTCATTTATTCCATACAGAGTTAGATTATTCCACATGGTTTTTGAAAATATGAAGATTATCCACACACCTTTCTTTATCTTTTGGAAATATGAAAAAAGCTAATTCTTTTTTTCTTGTGTCAAACATGACAGTTCATTGTAAAAGAGTTTGTTCTTTGACTGTCTTAGTGGAGGTTGCACAATGAACTGGCAGAGGCCATTGCTAACAGTTAGCTACAATAATGTAGTGAGTTTAACCTCTCTGTATTTTAGATCCTGGAATACTAAAGTACACCTTTGTTTGTAAATTGTGTAATAAGGTAAGATGTTTCCAGTACATCCTGGTTCTTGGATTGTGTGATAAGATAACGTGTTCCAACCACTTCTTTGTTCTTGGATTTCATAGGTAACATGTTTGCAGTATATCCTGGTTCTTAGATTGTATAATAAGGTAATATGTTTCCAGTACATCCTGGTTCTTGGATTGTGTGATAAGATAACGTGTTCCCACCACTTCTTGGTTCTTAGATTGTGTAATAAGGTAATATGTTTCCAGTACATCCTGGTTCTTGGATTGTGTGATAAGATAATGTGTTCCCACCACTTCTTGGTTCTTAGATTGTGTAATAAGGTAAGATATTTCCAGTACATCCTGGTTCTTGGATTGTGTGATAAGATAACATGTTCCCACCACTTCTTTGTTCTTGGATTTCATAGGTAACATGTCTCCAGTACATCCTGATTCTTAAATTGTGTAATAAGGTAATATGTTTCCAACACATTCTGGTTCTGAATAATGTAACAAGGTAACATATTTCTAATACATTCAGGTTTTTTGATTGTGTAATAAGGTAATATGCTTTTAGTAAATCATGGTTCTTTGATTATCTAATAATGTAATAAATATATATCTAGTACCTGCTTGTTCATGGATTATATAATAATGTAATATATTTCTAGTATACCTTGGTTCTTGGATTTCGTAGTAATGTAATGTTTTCTGAACACTCAGCACTTGGATTGTGTACTAACTTAGCATGTTCTCAGTTCATCGCAACTTTTGAATCATATTGTATAGAAACAAATAAAAATTTAAATAGTGTTAATTAATCTTAACTATTCTTATTTAATTGTGATTATTTATAAGTCAAAATAATTGGTACATTCCCTACTTAATTTTCAGCTTGTTGAGAAAGGTACAAAACTGGTTCTAGAACAAGTAGTAGTAACTTTATCAGCAGTAGCAGACAGTGCTGAAGAAAAATTTGTACAATATTATGATAGGTAGGAAGTCTATTTTTTCGTTTTATAATAATTTTCACTTTCCATCATGGTATATATGTGTTATATCTCATGTTCTTCTTTTGATTTAACTAATATAATTTGTGCCAATGTAAAAAGTAAGTTTGTAAATACAGTATGACATCTATAGATTCAAACTTTTTTTTTTCTACAAGAAAAAGAAAGTCCATAAAATTAGAATTTTTAAATCAGTTATTTGTTGTTAATAAGAATTTAAGTCCCTTCAGGGTAGATCATTGGGTAGGAAATGGCATGACTTTTAAACCATTTTATATAATATTAAAACAATTGATATATGGGAAAATAAGTTTTAAACTAAAAAAAAGCTTGAAAGATTGGGAGATTTTAGTGAAAGAAGAACAATCTATAAATTATCAATGCTCTTTAGTATCAAGAGGATGTTAGTATGACTTACCTCAATAAAAAGGGATGGTCATTAGGATGTTAACAGTTCTAGTTTATTATATTACCATCATGAAAACATAAACATTTAAGGAAATTAAAGTAAACAAATACTTTCTATGTCAGCTTATCTTTGCAATTTTTCAAGCCAGAAGAGGCTTGTTAATTATACATAATTAAATATAATTAAGCTGACACAAGGCTAGTGTCTGCATGAAAAAAACTGCAATGTTCATGGGATTCTATTGTTTTTACTGAGAAAGGCTTAAAGATAGTGTGCATCTTTATCTTTCTACTGGCTTTTGTTACAGATTATTAAAAGTGTCTAAATTTGGATTAGTTTTGCATTGACACCATCTGAAGTATTGTTTTGTTTAATTGATAAGTCTCTTCAGGTTATCTAAGCTACACACATTATTTGATCCAATAAGGAATAATTTTTCAATTACTGTGAAGTTCCTTATGAAGCACTCATAAAATTTAGAAAATGTATGTGGGTTGTTTTATGAGAAACTATCTTTTATCATTTCAAAGTAATTTAGCAATAGTTGGCTAAACTTGATATATATTCACACTAATGTTGCTAATGTATGATTATACTATACTTATGTCACAAAATTACATAAGAAAAAGAGGTTTTTTTACAAATTCATTGATGCTTGTCAGCTAGAAACTTAAATTGAATTAAACTCAGAAATCATTAGTCACTGTGTTAGACAACTGTTTACCGTATTAAAAATAACAAGTATTAAGAATGTAACATTTTTGTTTTTTTCTTTCTTTTTTAAATTATGATATAACTTGAAAATATATGAAATAAATGCTCTTGTTCATTTATGCATTTCATTGTATAAGAGTAAGAACTTGGTGTATGATTTAAAAGTGCTATTAAAGCAACTTTTTGATGGTTTTTTCTTAATTTACTAATATGAGCAGTTATTAAAATGGGCTTAGTTAAATATGTTTAGCAGTGCTAGTTCATAAAGTAACATCGTATAGGATCACTGTATAATGTTTGGACAAATCTGACAAAAAAAAACTAATAATATTTGAAATATGAAGTTGATTAAAAAGGACAATGCATGAGTTTTGGACAAACCAAGTCTAATTTAAAAGAAATACCCAATACTTGTGTTGTGAAGAAGGGTTATTGTATAGTGTTTGGACAAACCAGGTAAAAGAAAAGTTATTTACTGCTTGAGATTTAAAGGAATAATCCATATAGTTTGGACATACCTGGTCAAAATTTAAAGAATCGCTTAACCCTCTCACTCCAGGTATCCTTTACTGTGCACGACACAAGGTTTTAGTGTCTCACATTCAAAATTTTAATGAACTACTTTTTGTTTATGTTATACCAATTAGAATAGCATAAAATCTTTGCTAATAATCCATATTTTAACAGTATACAAGCTTTAAGTTCTTAATTCTACTAGGCAATATTTAAAAAAAATCCTGAATTTCCACTAGTGTGACCCACATGACACATTTGGTTTTAGCATGTCAATTTAATTAAATAATGCACCAAAGAATATATACTAATTGCCATTGAGTTTTGAAGAGAGTTAACTGTAACTTTTTATAGTCATAATAGTAAATGAATTTAATAATTTTTATTTAATTAAATAATGCACCAAAGAATATAGACTAATAACATGCAAAAAGCAGACAAATTTCTATACCTCTCAAAATTTTCATGGCTTTCTAACTATACAACAAGAGCTGTTACAAATTCATCCATGCTAGTCATTAACTTTCCCATGGGAACGAATCTTGTACTGTAAGTGAAATTAATGATATTCTGTTCAGAACTCAACGTTATACATCATTTGATAGATGAAAACCTTGACTTTCTACTGGTTATAGGTAATATATCATGAAACATAAGAGAGAACTATCAACGAATTATGAAAGAGATGATGTGACAGGTGGGGTCTGATTTTCTATTCAATAACTCTGCAACCAAATAAAATTGAAGATTATATAAATTATGGTTTGTCTGAGCAATAACGATTTTATAGAGTGTATTTTACATTTAATTTCATACATTTTTGAGGGGTTGTAGATAAAATAGGGATGATGACATGCTAAGAGAAAATGCCATGTGAGTCACACTGGTGGAAATTCAGGATCTTTTTTAATATTGCCTTGTAGAATTAAGAATTTAAAACTTGTATACTATTAAAATATGGATTATTAGCTAATATTTTATGCTATTCTAATTGGTATAACAAACAAAAAGTAGTTTAATAAAATTTTGAATGTAAGACACTAAAACCTTGTGTCATGTGCAGTAAAGCATACCCATGGTGATAGGGTTAAGCAGTAAAATTATTTGAACTATCTTTGGTTTAAATTCTTTACTAATTTATATTTTCAAATTCTCTTTACTTGCTTATTTCTATAGCTTAACAACTAAAACACTTTCTAGAAATTTCTCTCACTTTTTTAGAAAACTCCTAATAATGTTAAAAATACTTCTTCAAAAGAGACAAGTATTGAGTGTATGTGAAGTGTATGATTGCTAAAATAAATAAATAAATATTTTTTAATATAATGCAAAGAAATAACTGTTACAGTGGTAATTTGACATATGCAGTTTCAGAAATGTATTGAAAGAAAATTATCTGAAAAGATTATTGTAGTTCCTGAAAAGCTTTTCACTTGTCATAAAAATTAATCAAGTCTTTACACCTTGATGTTCTCTGTAATGATTTTACTTATTGAAATACTACAGGGTTGAATACGTTATATCAAAACAATTTTGAATACACAAATCAGCAAGTCATGTGACAACCATTGGTGATATAAAGTCATTGTGGAACAGAATGTATCATAAACGTATTTTGATGTTGTTTAGCATTTCGTAAGTAGTGTGATGCAATTGAATTTGATTACTCTTGGGAAGGGTGTGTAATAGCTCCTTCTAGAGCAAAGTTTTCATACACAGACTATAAAGATGTGTTCAGATATTGGATTTAGAATATCTAAGATGCGGATATCCATTGTATTTAATGTAACTGGAAAACAAAGGAATGTAGATCAACTTGGGAGACTAGAACCATTACAAAAACAATTTGCAACAAGTCTTATCCTATCTGCGGTAAGCAAGGTTTGGTGTTTTGTAGCAGGTAAGAATCAAAGTTCAGTGGTAAAAACCACCCTTGTTTCTTAGGCAACAGTGTGCAACATGATCAAGAATGATCTGTCTTGAAACAAGGTCAACAGAGTATGGGTTCACCAAGATAGACTTCTAGTCATTTGTCTCATTCAACTAAGGCATACTCAAAGTAGTTAGAGAATGAAACTGGTATTCATATTATTTTATACAAATACATATCAGTCAAGTTACCAAATGCAGTGCCTATGAATTTCTCTGATCGGATTGAAACGTGCACAGAATCTGCTCATCCTCATGCAATAAATGGATTATGGAAAGCCCATAAGGAGGAGTGGTGTTCTCTGAGCATTACAGCCATACAATAAAGCCTTTTACAAAGCAAAATATGCAGCAGGAATATTGTCAAGATGTACAATTGTAAATGCTTTTTTGAGAACTTTTTTTATGGATTTTATTGCTGTACAGTAATGATGAGTTCCCAAGTGTATATTTCATGTCGTTCCAGCTTTTAGCCTAGTGCAATCTAACTTGGAGAATAGTCTCTTCCAGAGTGCATGTACTATCCTCTCAAAACATGTTATTCTCCAAGTAAAAATAGAGAGTAAACACCTTCCAAGGATTCCTGACTTTGTACACAGTTGATCTCAATAGAGAACACACATCTTCATCACAATTGAGATATATATATAAACTTAGTAAAAAAAAAAAGGGTTGACAGCATAAAAAGTAATATAATTGGATAACTTCAAAACAAGGAGTTCAATAAACTTGTATTTCAACAATAACAAAAAATTACTAAACTTATTGAGGTATTAAACTGCATTTGTGATTCATTATGCGACTTATTTGAATATTAGAATTTCTGTAGCTATTATTCAGAAAACAGGAATGTTTTGCTTAGCTGTATGATGCCCTTCAATAAACCATGCAAGCACGAGCATAAAACCTAAAATAGTTATAAAATATGTTAACTAATAAATAGAACCTTGTATCATTTGATTTATGTCATTATTTCACAGTTTTTTCTAATGTATTGAAAGTACCGTTGATTTAATTACATTATATCTGGTCATTGATATCATTAAGGAAGTTTTGTGTACATCATTGATGCACTACAACTTAACAATTGTTTAGAAGTGTTGGAATAATGAATAGTAATGTGTTCTGCATTTGGTAGCCATACTATGAAGTCATACTCTCTTGCTTATGACCTCATGGCCAGCATATCTTGGTTTGCACAAAGTTTACTTTGAGAGAGATAATTAACTCCTTGTGTTCCAACAGCTAGTTTTTGTGTGCTCCCTAATTAAGCTATACTATATTATTTATATATTGTTACTTTCACTAACAACATTTGTTAGACTATTATATGGAAAGTTATTACTTTTTAGTTTAATTTATTATTATTATACTTTTATTGTAGAGATTATTTTGCATTTTTAGCTTAAGCTTAATATATGTATTTAGGACTAATGTAATTCTCCTGAGCTGGCTGAACCTAGTGAGATATTGAAATTATTGTCAAAAATACTGTCACCAGCAAGGGTACCCAACTGATGAAACAATGCATTCTAAACTATATAAGTAGGAACATAAGTTTATATAATTAGCTATACTGATTGCCAGGTTTATTTTTAGTTTCACTCTGACTTCATTTGTTGTTTTGATCAGAAGTTAATATTGTTTATAGTTGTTTTAAAAAAAGATCACTATTTAAGAGTGGACTTTATACTTGGTTGTGAAATGTATCTCTGATTCTAGTTTTACATTTTGAAAATGTAAATTAAGTTTCTAAAAGTGTGTAATTAGTTAAGCTTATCAGCTGCTTGCATAAAAATCCATATAGCTCTTTGAAAGTGACAGTCTATAGTAATGCACTATTATTATTCAGTTACTTAGAAATTTTAACAGTTTTCTAACATAATTAGAAAGAGACAAAAGCGTAACCTGCTATAAAACTGCACTTGGGATTTTCAGTATCATTGAAATTGTCATGAAGACTGCAACATAAGCTACAAATGTAACAAGGATATTTTGTGGCAAACTAAATGAAGAGTAACAGCAATGTGAGGAAAATATTCAGCTACATACAACCAGTGTTTAAAAACTATCTATTTTACAGGATTTATATAAAATAAACACTATTTATGAGGCTGGGCTTCACTCAAAAGGTATACTATGAGTTGATTTATTAAAACAGCTATAGTGTCAGACTTTATTGTCATAGTTATTCATTGCAATTGCTTCTATGAATTTTTTTTCAAAACAATGATATGGCTGATTTTTTTTAGAAGTTTGTGAAGGTTTAACAGCATAGGAATTCTCCATGGAACAATTTTCCTAGTATTTATTATAATAACTTTTGAGTGAAAGTAAAAAAAAAAAGGTGTATAATAATATATGAACGATACCATATCAGCTATATCCAGTGCCAAATTAATCATACAGGTTTTATTTCAAACAAGTATAAACTTGAGAAATAAAATTCAAATGATCATTGGTTTTTTGATTTGACGGATTGTGTGATTCCTTCTTCACATCACAGGTAAATCACAAAAAGTTTTGTAAAATGTAAATGAAAAGTGACATCCCACATGTATGAAAAACAACATTTTTGTATAAACGTTTTATCATTCAGTTAAAAACTAATAAACAGTTTACTGCAAGTATGTTTATAGTATATTTAAACATAATGAACTGAGATTTAATTTTTAACTAAATTATACTTAAAAAATATGATTTATCTTTATTCCTATACCCCACACAATAGAACTGTTATATTCCATGTTTTATAAGAAAAAAGCTAATTTTTTTTTTCAGTTCACTGGTAGTTTTGTGTCTTGACTGAAAAGGTGAATTGTAGAAAGTGATGTTTTAATACAAATTTAGGATAAAGATTATTGCCTATAGGTTATAAATAACTTAAAACTGACTGTTTTAAATATGCTTTAGGTTTATGCCGTGTCTGAAGTATATAATTCAAAATGCGAATACTGAAGAACTACGACTATTACGAGGGAAAACTATAGAATGTGTGAGCCTAATAGGGCTAGCTGTTGGTCAAGAAAAAGTAAAGCTTTTTTTTAATATGTTAGTTGTGTGCAACCTATGTAAAATAAATGATTGCTTCTGTAATGTGATAATTAAAATAAACTTTTTTACAACCTCTAGCATACTTCTGAGAATAGTGAACATTTCTTGTCATAGCATATTCCTAAATAAAGTAATCAGCAGATTTTGTTTCATAATTAATGATTTATTTTTGAGACGTGAAAGAAAAATATATTTGCGTAATAGTTTACTAGAAATAAATTTTAAATATTAATTCATCTTTACAATTTGTTTATGACTTTAACCTGTTCCAGTTTGTGAATGATGCCAGTGATGTCATGAACATGTTACTGAAGACGCAAACAGATGGCAATACAATTAGCGAGGATGATCCTCAGGTAACTAGTTTTATTTTTCTAGCTTTATGGTGTTTGGCTAAATGTGAAGTTTTCAGAAGTGAGGTAAGTAAAAATTCATTACAACACAAAGATAGAAATATCAGTTTAATTTATTGAAGGAGCATCATTGTATAGTATTAGTTGTAGGTATAGTATAACTATTTCAAATATTCTTGTACATTTAAAGATTAAATTAAATATCATTTATATGGAATTCTGTGTTTTCTATACAGAATAAGTTTGCATGTGTAATGTATAATTTCGATTATGGCTAGTAGTCAAGCTAAAGATGAAGTTACAGGTATACACGCAACAAAGAAACAAGTTCTGTTGACTAAAAAAGTAATTTTACACAATTGTAACATAAGTAACAATTTGAATTATTGAACGGATTTGTAAATAACATGTGATGGTGTCTTATCATGATATTACATAATATTAAGATTGATATGGTAGAGTGTCGTGATGTTACATAACCTTTAGGTTGATAAAAATTTAAGTTACACCATTCTATATTGTTCCATTAACAAGAGTATACAACTACCAGAGCTCATGTGGACTGCTAAATTACAAGGTACATTGTATTAGTTGAAATAGTTATAGAAATAACTTAAGAAACAAGAAGTCTTAGGATTTAGAACACCTTAACTGACATTGCATGCCGTTCAGCTGTAATGTGTATGTGATATAGCAATAAAACTGGTAATAGTTTAAGTCACAGTGTTCGTTACTGACACGTTACAGAGTTCCATTAACTCTATTTTCAGAGAAAGAAAAAAGTGTATTGGAGGTGGTTGTTGCAAAGCAGTCTATGCATGCTCAATTATTGAAATATATATATCATATTACACATCATAGTAAAGGGAAATGGATTTAGATTCATATTCTACTAAAATATTAAGGTTTTGAGAAAGAATTAATTTTAGACTGAAAGAATGATAGAAGATAGATAAGATAAAGAAATATTCACACAAGTATAACTTACCAAGTTCTAGCATTACCCCTATGCAAAAGCTTCAAAGTAACAGGCAGATGAAGATTATTGAAATGTATATCCATAATTGTTCTTAAAACTATCAGTAAAGTGCATTTTATTGAAGAAAATTGAATTGGTATGTATTACATCAAAGAGAAGTTATAAATGAAGAAAATCAGGAACAGCATTTTACAAATATATATATATATATATATATATATATACAGTCTATGTACAGCAGTCATAATGTCTAGGCTAGTGCTATTCGTTGTGTTGCTTGTGAGAAAGCACAAAGTACTTCTTTGGACACAGATGTGGTCTGTCTGGGCATCTTTTGCAAACATAAATGGAGCAACGATGTTTTCCAGGACCACAGTCTCAATCCTTTCTTTCATAGTTCACAAGATGTCTGGCTCCATCCACCTTCTCCATTTCATTCCCTTTCTTTCCACATTTTGAATTCTTTGGTGGACAGATTATGGTGTTTTTGGGTGTCACCTCTGCAGCTTTGTTTGTGAGGGCATCAATGAGGTTTTGTTAGAAAACTTGCAGGCTCACTTTCTTTGTCCCTTTTGGTTGGCATAAACTGTACAAGATGTGGGCATTTACTTGGGTTACTTCGATAATCCAATGATATTCAAATTCGATGACAAGGAACCCACTTTGAGACTAATAATGGCTGGAGACGGCTTAAATGGGTAATGAAGAAAAACTTTAATATAAGTTTA